CAAAGATCCCAGCAGAAAAACTAGCCAATTCACTGCCCTCCTGACCACAGATCAGCTACTAGACTCTCCCAGCATCAGGAGAAAGAAACACAGGAAGTGCCGTGATGTGGAGGAGCACCCTAGTCTTCATCTCCCCACCCTACATGGTCCCCTGTGAATCACGGCGCAGAGCAGCACTACTGCCACATCCCCTCCAGCCCTGGAGCGGTGGCACGGCTTTAGAGCTCCTGGCGGGCACCTCCTGTGAAAGGGTTCAGAAGTCTCCAGAAGAGATGCTGTGTAAACATAAGCACATTATCACTGTTTGGCTTTATCGTTCCGGCTGGGGATGAACATGGTACTGTTAAACATCTGGTACATCTGCTCGAGGGGGTCTCTCAGCCAGACTGAGATAACCCAGCTGCACACTCAAGTCTTTTCCATATCTGTCTTCATCGATGTCTGTATCAAAACCCAGCAGTATGCATAAAATTGGGAGCTAGCATCCCAAGCAGAATTACATGATTTTTTTGTTACTTAGCACCTTGTGGCTAAACTTTTAGACTGCAAGAACTTGTAAAGGCTTATCTCTTTCTGCTGTGGCATCTGCAGCAACCATTGTTATCCAGGGGTTTTGCTCTGCCTTATAAATTAGTCCGTGTGCCTGTGGGGTCTCTTGTGGCTCATACTCTCATGTTTTGTCCCAGAGAGAAGTCCACATATAGGAAAATGAGGGAACATACCCTCCCCTGTAAGATGTAGCTACCACTGCCAGGGCTCTGGAGAAGATTACAAAGGTCTGGAAAGCGTTAAGTGTCTCCCAGGGTCTGTCAGTGACCTGCTGTGTGCCTGCCCTGCTGAATCACTGCCACCACCCTCCCCTCTTCAGAGTTCAGTTTCTCTTCTTACTCCCTGGGAATAATCCATAATAATCCTTTGTAATCTGCAGGAGCCCAGGGCAGACACAGGTTTAAGAGCTGTGAATACACAGGGTCCAGGGGTTAGGTGTATTTGTCACCAGACGCGGGATGCATCTGGTACTTCTATCAAAGTCTTGCACTATCTAACATGGACATGAAAGACCCAAGACTGCAAATCTGAGGAGGCTGAGAGAGGATCTTATTAATGTGTATAAATATCTGAGGGGTGGGTGTCAAGAAGTGGGCAGTCTCTTTTTGGTGGTGCCCAGTAACAGGACAAGGAATAATGGGTAAAAATTAGAACGCAGGAAGTTCCACCTCAACGTGAAGAAAAACTACTTTACTGTGAGGGTGACAGAGCCCTGGCACAGGCTGCCCAGGGAGGTTGTGGAGTCTCCTTCTCTGGAGAGTCCAGGGGGGCTGGACTAGATGATCTCCAGAGGTCCCTTCCAACCCCGAACATTCTGTGATTCTGTGGTTCTGTGATATCAGCCTCTGAATGCAGCAGGCATGCATAACAGGCATGAGCCTCTCCACCTTAACAAACAACCACTAAGGAATATAAGCTTTTCCCCTTAAATATTTTAAAAATAAAGAGGGAGCCTCTGAATTTTGTTACCATTTCTGTATACATTTATTAAGCCAAAGAAGTTTGATCATATCATGGTATGTTATTAGAGCACGAGATCCCTTCTCTTGAACTTTGCTAACAATTGTATTTTAATTAATTGTTGGGTTTTGCGTTTCAAGGTAAAAAAAAAAATAACCCTTTCCGCATTTTCTTATTAAATGATTTTTTACGGATTTTTTCCTTTCTTTTCTTAGGGTACAAAATAAATGTTCCTCAGACATGTAAACAACCATCACAGAAATTAAACTGCTCTTAAAGTTACCTTTATTGTTGTGGATGTTCTGTTAGATTTATATGACGTTAGATGTATTTCAGCTCAGTGACTCCTTCAACAAAAGTTATTATTGTTATTGTCACCTGCACCGCAATAGTGCCCAGAGGCCCTGGTCAGGGATGAGGCCATTCTGTGCGGGGTACGCTACAAATGCTTCGGTGTAACTCTGAGGTCCCTGGTAAGAAGGACATTTACTGCTGCGACTATAACTCCGTGCTTCCTTCTACTCAGCAGTCGTCCTCACAAATTATAGGAGCTGGAGTGAAACTCTTCTCCAAACTAAGCCTGGAGCTGATCTTCATTTACCGTTGAAGAGAAGTGAAACGTTACTACAGGCCAATCCCGATGCCTGCAGTCGTGAGCAGAAAGCTGCTCACACTCATGGGAATGCTCATACAAGTAAGAAACTCCCATGGGAAAAGCCTGCAGGATTGAGTCCCTGGATTGCTGAACTCCCTTGCAGAAAGCAGGCAGGAAAATCAAACTGGTTTAGTTTCTTTAAGGTTTTTTCAGTATAATTTTAAGAGACAAAGGGACTGGGTCGGTTTCTCAGTTTCAGCACCTTGAACATTTTGAGTTCTGCTCTCCAAATTAAAGAAGTCTCCGCTCTGCCTTGGGCTACGAGACCAGACCTGGAAAAATCTGTTGGACGGTGTCATTGGCAGGCAGTGGCTTGCTGTTACAGCATGGGGTGGGCCTCTGTTTTATGGTGTGAAGGCTGCATCCTAGGCAGGAATTGCAAAGATTGTGTTTGGCCATCAGCAGAAATTATTCTGAAAACACTTCAGAGCAACTGCACTTTAAATAATGATTATACCTTGTTATTTGGTGATTACATGAAATAAATAGCAAAGAATCCATGTCCCGGCACAAACACAAGGTATTCCTGCCTAAGAAGCATCCTTGCAAATTACTGCCCTTTAGGTTATGTCAGACGTTTAAATGAACCCTTTAGAGCTAAAATACAGTACTCCGAAATGAGGTTAGAAAATTTTTAAAAGAACTACCAGAAAGTGTGTACAATGCTCTCTTTGAAACAAGCTCCCCACCTGAGTAGCCTAGGAGTGTGAGGCCTCAATAGACATAGAGCCGATCTGAAATGGCAGCGGGCATGTGCGTCATGATCTGCATGCGCAGCCACCAGTAGTAATCCATGGGGTGGTAGCGGGTGTAGGGTGCCGTGGAGGTGAGCGCGTGGGTGACGCTTTCGATGACCGGCGAGGTGTCCGTCGAGCCGCTGTTGCAGTACGTCTCCATCTTGCTGACCTGCTCGTCGAAGTACTTCCTGCCGTAGTCTTTGCGCACTATCTCAGGGAGCTCGTCCCACATTTTGTCGGCTATGGCTTTGATCCGCTCGGGGCTGTACAGGTTGGTGGCAGCTATGAAGTTACCGGGCTCCACGATGCTGACCATCACCCCCTGGGGCTGCATTTCGTACCGCAGGCAGTCGGAGAAGGCTTCCACGCCAAACTTGGTGATGCAGTACGGTGACCGGGCAGGACTGCCCATCCGACCCATCATGCTACTGATGTTCACCACACGACCTAGGCAGAGGCCAGGAAAGGCACAGCTGAGCTGGGGCACCTGAGCCAGGGCAGACACTTGAACACCCAACAGACTCTTGAACACGCACCCACTCGCCCACTGTACATCCGTAAAGGCTGCCTGGCAGCCCAGCCGGCAGCTCCATCTGAGCACTGCTGTCCTGTTGCTTGTACCCCCTGGCTCATTATACCTGAAGGAACAGGCACAGGGTGACACACGTAGCTCAATGCTACGGAGAACAAAGCAGAGGCTGGACAGAGCCTGCATGGTGGGAAACAGGATGGCTAAGCACGAATCAGAGCTGAGGCCATACAAGAGGAGGCAGCACTAAGAAAGCCTCTGGCACCAAAGCTGAGCTTATTTATCTGCAAGTCAAAGGCACAAAATCCAGGAACTCAGTGGTGCCTTATAGTGTCTGCCTCTTAAAAGGGACTGGATTGCTCCTGCACCACAAACTGGCAGAGCAGCCTAAGTCCACTGCATTCTTTTCTGTGTGACAGCTGGATTATGGCTCCAGGCACAGAGCTGGGGCCCCTCTCCTCTCCAGAAGCCATTCATGTTGGCTGGGGAGAATGCTGATAGGAGACTGGATGCTGCAGTTTAATCAGGGGCTGCAGCTCTCTGCACGTGCTATCAGTGTGCATCACAGAGTTGTGTTAGAAAGAAAAACTCCAACCGCAGATGTGGACATCCTTCCGCGGTGGAAGAAATGCTGCCGGGGCCACATACAGCCCAGGTGTGCAGCACAAGACAACACTGTCAATGTCTGTGGATGCCTCAAGAATAAAAAATATCCTCATTTAGTCAGGTAGTTGGTCCCAGTACAGGAAAGCTTTTGCCCCTTTATGTCAAGACACCCAAGCTCCAGGTCTGCACTCCTTTGCTGCATAAACCCCACCTCTCGTAGGTTACAAGCTCCCAAACCAGCACAGCACAGAGCCGAAAACTTCCCTGGAAGCAGCACGTCACAGTGCACTACTGCCGCCCACCCTGCCAGCATCTGCACAGGTGGGGTTTGTACAGAGTGGAGGATTGCTCCTGGCGCTGGAATTTATGATGAGCTGCCGCTTCTGAACAGGTAAAAGGACGTATGACAGATTAGATCTTGTGTGGGCTGTTGCAGGAGAAGGCAGCACAGATGGGAAAGAGAAATAATAACTGGTTTTCAGGACTGCTGCCTTGCTGCGTAATTCAGAGCTGTTAGGAAATCAGTTATTTGTGTGTGTGCTGTGGGTCACATTCTGCCTGTAAAGCTATGGAGGTGGCCAACGGTGCAGAGAAGCACAACAGCCCTTTTGGCCTCTAACACAGGAAGGCATGAGGCAGGATGAGGGACCTGCTCCAGGGGGTGCTAGTCAGGAGGAGATCACTCACCTTTCGACCTCCGGATGAGCGGGAGGAACGCTTTGGTGGTTCGCACAGTCCCCCACAGGTTCACTTCAGCTACCTCCATGTAGGTGTCCATGCTGGTGAACTCCACTTCCCCGAACGTGGAGATCCCAGCGTTGTTAACCAGCCCCCAGAGCCCTACAAGAAAAAAATCAAACAGAAAGCTTTCCCTCTGTGAGACTAATGAGAGCAGCTTGGAAAAGGCCTTGCAAATAGATTACTGAACCACACATGTGAGCTTTTCATTACAACTTGTAATGACAAAAGACAGACAGAAGAGTGTCCAGAACAAACTTCAGTCTCATGAGCAAATATAACCACAGTCAGGATCTGCCTGTACGACCGGACACTGCAGCCACAAAGTACCACGAATAAGGCTTCCTGGGAAGTTCTGAGCCAGCAAACAGAACTTCAGCCTTGTCTAAGCTGCTCCCCTTGTTAGTCTCTTTTTATCCACTGTGATTTTTTAATAGAAGCAACATAATGTCTCTAAATGCAAATAATAAAAATAGGAGAGACCTTGTAAGAGACAAAAGAGTAATTTTTTCAAAGTCCCTCATGTCACCAAAAGAACTAGAACGTCTGCAGTGTGGTGCAGGGGGATGTGGGCACGGATGGACGTGAGTTGGCACCCATGCCACAGGCTCTCCCTCTTAGTCTGCCGTAACCAAGACGGTAACAACAGCTGTCACCAAAGGGTGGAAAGGTTTCAGGAGTGCATGAGCAACAGGGTTTTGCACAGTACTGGAGCAGAATGAGGTAGGCAGGCTAAGTAAGTCTGTTACAGCTACCACTTGAACTCCAAAATCTGTAATATATGGCAATATCTGCAATGGCATTAATGATATTCAGCTGGCCTCATGGGAAGTCCTTTGGAAAACTTCTCTATTTCCTTTGCCTTCTGGAAGTTTCAGGCAGACAATTCCATTGCCAATCCCCAATCTTTGAGCACTGGCCAGGTTTTATAAAATAAAGGGAGTCACAAAAAACTTCAGGTCGCAGGAATAAAGTTCTAATACCAGGGCCTTGACGTAACCGTGATTCCTGCTAATGTCCCTACAGGACCTGGTGAAGAAAAAAAGCAGTTTTCTTTCTAGATGTTGTCATTAAATGGGAAGCTGCTTCCTGATATGGCACAACATTTAAAAAAGCTTTGTGCCCTTCAGTCATGCTCAGCTTTTGAAATATGCCCTGAAAATGCCCTTAGCCCAGCTGAGGGAGCTCCTGCCACCTGTGTGACCTTAGAGATCACTGGATGCACCTACCTTTCTCTGGGTCCTCCAGACTGCTGTTCACGTGCTCCAGGGCTCGGTCCACTTCTTTGCTGTCACAGACATTGAGCTGGACAGTTCTCATTCGATCACTCTTCATGTTGTCCAGATCCTTGGAGCCACCATCTCCTTTGTCCTAGAGAGAAAGAGCAAGCTGGTTTGAATATGGTTTGAAAGAGTTTGGATAGACTATTAAATGCATAGCAACTATCATATCCGGCAAGAGAGTGCACAGGGCAGTCATGGAATAATCAGGACAGTCTTGCAGCTCCGAGAGGAAGGGAAACAGACAGGACAGCCCCTCCAGAACACCGTTCTTCAAGCATCTCCATCTGGCCACAAGCCCTGACACCAAGTCGGGTGGTACAAACTGCTTCAACCACCAAGAAAGCGCCCAGAGCTGGATCTGCCCCAGCAGTACCTGCCCAGTGCAAGCTCCTGAGATCAGCTCTGCCCCACCGCCACAGTGGTGGGAATGCAGAAATGTCCTCACTCCAGCTTGCATATGGGGTACAGCAAATAGCTTGGTCGGGGTATGGTATAAAACAGCCAGTGAGTGGCTGCACATGCACGTCACACGTGCTTCTGTCACACGGCCAGCTCTAGGAGTGACAGTCTTGGAAGAGGGGCTGCCTGTGCACTGCTCTCTACCTCCAGCTGATCTACACACAGAGCTCCCACTGCCTGAAAACCTACCGACTGCCTCCAACTGACTCCTACAGAGGCCAACCATCAAACGCCCGGCCGGCCAGCCTGCCTGCTAGCATTTCCCCACAACGTCTTCTCCAGTATCCTGCTCTCTTCTCCACCTTCCTCCTGTGAGCTTTTTCTCACTCCCATTTCCCATCTCCACTCTTTTTTGCTCAGCTCAGAACAACAGATTCCCCCAGTATATACATACCCACTCAGCCATGGAACCTCTGAGATACCTTTCGCATGGGCCGGGTGCTGCTAGCAACAAGGCTGCCACAGGCTTGTCGGAGACGACCAGCAGACAGCTGCCAAAGAGATGCTGCTTGTCTCTGCAGTCTGAACCCGGGCTGCCCATTTACCCCAAGTAAGAGTTCCCTTCAGACACCGTGCTTTAGACACCCCATGAGGGTGCCCCCCTGTCCCTGTGCCACCTGTCTTCCAACAAACCTTCTCCTGGCTCCTTCTCATTCCTGGGCTTGTCCACTGTGCTCACAGACAGTTCACTAACATAAGTACCTGATACCTCCCCCATCTTCTTCTCCACCCTTCCTTATTCCACCCCAGAGTGTTAATACCAGTTAGTGTTTGTCCTTAAGAGAAGGCATCTACTGCACTCTGCACACAGACGCACACTGCATTCAGATTGGAGCAGTTAGAAGTCCCATGCACAGCTTAGTGGTTTGTTTTTACGGTGACTAGAGTTTAGTGTTAAGTTTGCTGCTCACTCAAAAGCACTGTGGTGCTGAAGCCGGCGTGAATGGCAAAGCATTGAAAAGCAAACAAGTGGCACATGTGGGAGTGCCAACAGGGAACTGGCAAGCATGCAAGTCCCTTGGAAACAGCAGATATGGCTAAAGGGAAGAGCAAGAACAATAAAGTCAAGGCACTTCTTTTCCCAATCCCAGGTCTGCGAGGTGCTACAAAACCTCTGGGCCACACCAACCCACCCTCAAAGGCCTCATAAAACTCTACTGGGACCTTCACAACATCCTCTTCTTCCTCCCTTAGAGGGTTAGCTCAGCCAACATCCCTCCTGGCCTCCCACCCACACGCAGCTGGCTGCTTGGACAGGGACCCTTGGGGTGGGAATCCTGGCCAAGAGTTGGACCCTGGGCATTGTCCAGAACCACAGGGCCATTCCCTTGGCTCTTCAGAAAGGGCAGATGGGTAGTGCCTAAGTCAGGCACCCTGTGATTGTGTCATGGTCTCCTGGGACAGCACGCAGCCTGTCCCACAATCCCCAGGCCCCTGTGCAGCAGTGGAAGAACCTTCTCATGCTACACCACAAGACCAGTACATCTCTGCTGGCAGCCTCGGTGTCCACTGTCCCCAGAGCAACAGGACCCAGCTCTCTCACACTGGAAAAGCCCACTGCTGCCCCACCTTCCTCTTCCCATGGTCACCCTCCAGGGCTCATGGGCTTCAGCTTGTATCTTTATCACTGTGGCTCCAGGAACTCTTGTTGAGCCCTACAGTAACTGCCCTGCATGCTGCCTTGCTCAGATAACTTCTCCATTCTCATCCCCCTGCAAGCCCCGACAGGCCTGAGCACACAAAGCAAAGCAAACAGGGGTTCCACCACACTCCTGACAGCCGTGACAAACATCACATATGTCCGCTGGTAACAGATACTGATGGAAAAATACCTTCTTCATCTCGTGTCAGCTGGCTCCTCCAGCTATTAACCAAAGAGGAAAAAAATAAGACAGCTGCAGCGTTCATCGGATCCAGCCTACCACTGGCTTTTGGCAATGAAGCATCAACACAACTCTCACACAAATATATTTGCCAGTGTAAGTATTAGGAAGAAACTGTGTGTGAAATAGCTCCCCTCAGTTGTGACTCTAAGCACCTCTCACAGGTTTCCTTCAATAAAAGCACAGTCAGATGCTCGGGATCTGGCAACTCCAGGAAACCTTCCTGAATGAAAAGTCAGCACTGCGCACAATTTAAAACTGCAATAAGGATGTGATGTTCCGAAGAGCAGTGTCTACCCTGAGGACGTGATGGCTCCCCCAGCTGGAGTATGCTCCTGATGTGCAGGTGTGCTGTGAAAAACAGTCCCATGAAAATAACACTGAAGTTTCATAGTCACTTCCTCTCTGTCAGGACTAGGTCAAATACACCCAAGCAAAAGACGATCCTTCTTATTTCCATCTCCACTTCTGTCTAGCATCTAAAAACACACCAGGCTTTCCTGCCCCTTAAATCAACACCAGCAATAATTACACTCTGATCAGAATTCTGCTTATGGTTCTGCTAGTGAAACCTGTGTCACTATGAGAAATCAGCTCAGTTTTTTGAGTTCTACAAAGCAGTTCTACATAAAGTATATGGCCTGATGACACACGGGAGGCCAACCTGCTAACTAAGGAGTTCTGGAATTTTGCAGTGTTTTTCTCACGACAACTGCTGTTAACAGTCTTGCCACAGTCACATAGATTTTGGAACATGGGATGCGAGTTCAGCTAAAGAAGCAATATTTAACTACAGAGTGATATAGCAAAGCTTTCTGCTGACTTCTAGCAAGGAAATAAGGTTGATCAAGGCCTAAGAGAGTTCCGGCATGCTGCTGCATGTCAGCTTATGCTAAAATTGTCAGAGGTCAAGATTTTCCACCAACATGTATTCAGTACAATGACTACTTAAGACACCTAAATTGAAGGGAGGTTTCAGTGACAATTAAAGACACACTCACTGAAAACAAGCATGCATCCTCTGGCAGCTCAGAGGAAGTGAAACCCAGAAGTAACTTCGCAGTTCTGAAATTTTTGGCTCCCGTCAACACAGAGGCAAGCTATTATTCTAAACAGTAATTTTTAACTCTGCAACGTTCTTACATGCTCTAATGTTGATCTTCAGTTACAAAAGCTGAGTAGGAACATCTGCCAAAAAAGTACTCATCTACCTTCTCTCGACACCTTTGAAAACCAGCAGTTGATGTGTTTTGTTCTGCTGTGAAGCCTGCAGAGGGAGCCCAGGTTAACAAATAAACCCTTGACCCAAAGCTGAGACACCGCAAGGGACAGAGCTATCAAAACACAAACTTCTCTTTTTAAAAAATGCAGCAGAAAGAAACGAATAATTTAAGCAAAACTTAATAATAATGGAAAAATTAACAGCAAAGAAAGTATTAATAACATTAAAAATACTTGGCAAATTCTCTTTAACATAACTATTTAAGATACATTTGTGATATAACTATTCAAGGTACAAGAGTGAGCTAAAAGACTAGGATCAAAACAATTGACCCACTCCAGGATATCCCAAGGAGTAAATTCATTTCTGTTGGGCAATGGCAGCTGAAAACGTGCCAGTGCTTCATACGGAGAGAGAGGCTAAAGCTCTCTCCTATTCTCCGTGACCAGGCATCTTCGACTGCCATACAGAGTGCTCCTGCAGACTGTACCAAGACTGAGTCACTAAGCCATTTGTGGTCTGATTCTGCTCTCATTTGCACTACTGGAATTCCATCACCTTTGTAGCAATTTCAGGAGACCCTCAATGCATACTTAGGCATTACTGTACTTATGAATGTAGAAAAATGTGCTCATACCACCTGCTGTCAAATCACTGATGACTTGGAAGATGTCAGAACTAATCAAAATAAGTCCTGTATAAATACATATAGCCTGAGGGCAGGGTCAAAGGTCCAGACTCATCCTGATGCCAAGATTTGCTTACGCATGACTATAAAATTAGATCTGGGGTTCCAGTCCTACAGACATGGAACAGATCGCAATGTTGTGATTGAAATAAGCACCTCCCTAGATACCGTTCAGTCCTGGTTCTGGTCTACACCAGGTTATGCTCTAGGAAACTTAAACATTCAAACACGCTTTTCCTACGGGCTACCGACCACCTCCTTCTCCCTGGTAGAAAGCTGTGCAGAACAGAGAGAAAAGATTGGATTTGCTACCTGTCTGTGCACGTGCCACAGGTGAAGAATAAAGTTTTTGTTTTCCCTACCTTTTGCAGGCAGCCAGCGTAAACAATGAAGCCTTTGGTATGCAGGTGCTTGGCCAAGGCAAATCCAAACCCGGAGTCACAACCTGTTATAAGCACAGCTCTGCTGCCAATCTGCAAAATAAAACAGAACAAAACGCACTGAAATAGTGTCTGAAATGAGTGACTTGCAGTGCACAGAACAAAACCATGTCCTTGGCCAGGAGCAGTCTGTTCCAGGGACAGTCTCTACATTCATTGCCAGCTACTGCCACCCAGTGCCTCCTGAAGTCCTGCAACACAAAGTTTGGCACCTCTGGAAACAGACTCCCCATGCAGAGACCAAGCCAATCAGCATTCTCTAGCAGTTCACATCCATCTTGAAATCTGAAAATATACCAGGCAGCTCTCCCACGAGACATTTTCCCTTCAGTTTTCCTATATTTTCAAAGCAGGCAGGAGTCCATTCTTCTGTGCCATAGAGCCCATAGGGCATGGTGAAGATAGCTTGACTGAAGAAAGGGCATCGGTTTACCTGACTACTCTCTCGCAAGTAAACCATCTAGCACTGGGTTTTAAAAGCTAAGCAGAATCAGGTGGGTTTAATATTTGAAATTAAGATCAGTTTTTGCTTGTTTTTTGGTTGTCTTATTTTTCCAATTTACAATTTAGATATATCTCCTTCCTTCTCCAAACCCCTTTTTCTAACCCAGAGAGGCAGCAGCTAAGTGACATATTAAAAATCGCATAGTGTTGCAGATATTTCAGCAGCAACAAGTGCACATGCAGCAAGGTGACGCTGTGGGTGGGATTAGGCAGTAATTACTTGCAATTCATTCCAACTCATCTCTTTTAATAAACTAGAAATTTATTTCTCCCCAGCATACTGGAGAGAGATCTGGGAGAGACTGATCAGGGTCACACTGGAAGCCCAGGAGTGATGCAAGGGCCATATCTGAATTCCTTTGAGACTCTCCCAGGGTTATGGAGCAAGATGTGCACACTCCAGCACTGCTATAGTGCTGAGTTCTGTGCCACAAGACCAGCAACAGGGCAAAACATCCCCCTGCTTTCTGCCTGGCACTACTCCTGGCAAAGAGAGGGCTGTTAAAGATAGAGGGCCACTTTCCAGATCAAGAGGTGAGGACACACCAATTTGTTTACATATTTTTAAACAACCTTACTCCAGAAAGAGTGCTTTATTAAGAATTTGTCAGGCACACTCCCTCCACTCTGAGGTGGAAGATTTTGTCTGTCGAGTGAGTTCCAAAAATAGAAAAGACCCACGAGTGTGATTGTTTATTTCCATCCTTAGCAGTATGTACCATGCTACGTCAATGGAAGCTCTCCACTAGGAAAGAATGTGGAGTATGTTGGAGAGGTCCAGCTCAGTGTCTGGCAAATTAGAGTCTGGTCACCAGGCTTCAGGGATTTTAAAACCCCAGCTCAGCAGAACTAGTTCCTGGAAACTTCAATCACACTCACCTCATCAACTTCACTTGCATAAGACCGGCTGCTACAAGGGGACAAGAGAGGAAAGCAAAATCTTTGCAGAGGCCTGTTAAAAACAAAAAAATCAACAGAATAATCAGGCATGGAATATTTTGTCCATATGCCAGTGCTGCAGCATACACATGTAAAGGAACGTCATACATGTGTAGGCTTTCATTTGAGAAGACAGACTCCAGTCTACCGTTCTCCTCAGTCTGAGCCTGTGTTTCCTAGAGTATGAAACATTTGTTTCTCAAAACACCTTGATGCTATTTCCAGCTGCAGAAGCTGTCTGGATGCTACCAAGAATTTTAAAAATGTTCCTGATCTGGAGGCACACAGCCGCTCCCACCCACAAAATGGGCAGTACAGTGCTTCCATTTCTAACAGCAACAATGCTCAGAGCTGTACAAAGCTGGGGTAGAAGTTGTTCATTTGTCTGACAAAAATGTTCTGCTCTGGCATTGTCTCTGACATCCAGTCTAAGGTCAAATTTACTCAGATTTCTCTCTCACTGCTTTTACACATAGCTCCACCCTCCTGTCATTTCAGACAACAGTTATTCCTCTGCAGTGACTACCCATTAGATCCTCTGAGACCTTATATCCCCTCTTTGCAACTGTTCAGAATGAGTCACTATGTCTTTGAGCTGTACCTGCCATGCAGATCTGAAGCTCCTCTTTACAGTACGTCTGGCTCCTGGGAAGGTAAGCCATGCCCACAAAGACAGACCAGAGCGAAGCAACAATGCCTTCCAGTATTAGCTATTTAGAAGAGCTATGCCACCAGTAGCATCATGCTGTCTTAGGTCTTGCCACCATTCATCAAAACGGGGCCAAGGCAACACACCAGAGCGATACAAGCCTCTGTCCTTGCCAGCCACCTCTTTGAACTGTACCAGCATTTTCATTTTTGTTTTGGGAACTGACATTCCCCTCCCAGAGCCTTCTGGCCTTCCCCTAGACTTTGAATTACTTCATCTACCCTCCGGCCCCTCTAACAACAGCCATCCTTCAGCAGAGTTTATCTTCCAGGCCACTCATGTGCCTCCTAAGTGAATCTGCATCATCATCATCATTCAGAATTATGTCCTGCTCAGATATCACAGCTGCTCCCAGGGTGATCTGTGCTATGGTATTAGCCATGGGCAGGCACTCCAGCCCTGAGCTGCATCTTAGGAAAACAAGGATAGGAAAGGGGTCTGATAGGACAGAAGCTTTAAACCAGATGGGAAAGGAGACAATTTGTATTCAGACAATAGCGTCTGCTCACGTTCCTGCAACAGTTTAGCTCTTTTTCTAACTTCGAGTGTCACAAGCTCAGTCAGTTCTTGAAATAGCTACAGCCAACTTAATTGCTGCAAAGGTCAGTCCCCAGGCAAAGTCTGTGCTAACACCACTGACCTGCAATCCTGGCTTGGAACTTTTATCTCAACAATAAGCTTCTTGGTGTTGCAAAGTGCCAAGAAGTGTTCATAACATTTCTTTTAGTTGCACAAACTTGACTTTTCAGTGTTGTATCTGCCCCTGTTACTTCACTGCAGAGCACTGATTTGCTGCACTCTATTCACAGTAACTCACAGAGAATAACTGCTTGACATTCTGCCTACCTTGACCTGAAGGCAAGGGCACAAAATAGGTGCCAGCTGCTGATCAGCAGGGATGGCATCGGAGGAAACAGCTACGACGCGTACACAATGTCAGCCCACACAGCACGCTAATGTAGCATGAGCCATTTTTGCCATTCTGTATGACTAAATTCTGGAGATCGCTACTGAGACATTTAAAAAAACACAGATGGTCCTCAAACTGACTCTGTGCTTATAACCAGGCCTTCGCTTTTGTTCAGTGACACCAAAAAAGGCAGTCCTCAGCTTGAAGAGTCAAGTATATAAATGCTACCTGAACGCATTAAGATAGCACTATAGCAGCAACACTGCCTTTCAGATGAACAGCTGCATTTCCATTTCAGGTTTAGCAGCTTGTGGGTACTTCAAAAAATGCAACACATTTTTGCCCTGAGTACAAGACACACAAAGCACAAATACACAGCAAGCAAAACAAAAGAGGAAGAAAAAAGAATATGCTGAAAAAGTCTAAAAAAGCATTAGTTTGTATTTTTAAGGCCACAGCAGATACCTGCCGGTGCAGCTTTGCTGTTTGTGAAGTAAATAGGAGATAAAAGCCCTACGTTTGTTTGCATAGGAAATCTCTAACAGCTTGACTGTCTTTGGTCTCTGCGACTCCTTGTTGCAGGAGCCATCCTTGACAGCAATCGTGCTGGACACCACTGGCAACAGCAGTGAAACAACACTGGAGGTGGCAGTTCTTGCTTAGCTGGCCACAAGCTGCTTCTAACCGGCTCGTGTACAACCAGTGGCACACACACCACAGTTTGGGAGCCCTGCTCTAAAGCAAAGCCACCGAAAGCACTCAGCTTGCTCTGCAATTGGACTAGTAGGGTTTCCATTGTATATCAATGAAAAAAGGTATTTTTTTCAGAGGTTGGAATTGAATAGGCAATTTTCTGGTCATGTTCAGTAAAACCAACCAAACAAAAACCAGCTTCATTACTCGGCCCACCTCTAATTGTCACTAAAACACTCCCTCTCGACTTTTTCATTTCACGTGATTCATTGTCTCTTTAATAAAGTCAGAAATAATATATGGCAGTCCCTTGCACTGCAGCAAGGCCTACTTATTGATTTTCATGAACAAATCCTTGCTTGACAGTGAATTAATGCTCTACTCAACCCTTTTTTGACTGCAGATGATTGCTGAAGCACAAAAAATCCCAAAACATGTTGCCATACATGTCTTCTTGCATACTGAGTCCATCTCTCCTCGGTGCTCAGCTCAAAGCCTAAGCACTGGCAGAGGTTACCCCAGCAGGCTCTGGAGTCTCCACCCTTGGAGACGTTCAAAAGCCATTTGGACAGTCCTAGGCAACCAGGCTTGAGTGGGGGTTGGACCAGATGATGTCCAGTGGTCCCTTCCAACCTCAACTATCTTGTGATTCTGTAAATAAACTGTTCCACTGAAATGAAGTGAGTCCTCGACATGTGTTTTACTCCAGATCTCACTGTTTCTTCTCCACCAGGTCACTTACCTGAAACCATTCCCTGGGTCCTTCAAATTAAGGGATTTCACAGAGAGGTTCAGGAGAGGCCGGGACAGCTTTGTAGCCAACATGCTTTCAATTAACGCACTCTACCAACAGCAAGACTGTTCTCTCTTAGCTCTGCAACACAAGATAGCACTTCTCTTTTAGTTGCTCAATTATTTTGTAAGTCATGCTGACTCCATGCATTTCAACATGCAAATGAAGTCCAGAAGAACTCATCTTTCCACCTTGCAGTCTCTCACACTGAGATAAACAACTCAACCTTCAACCACCTTAAGATGTTTTTAAATAAGAGATTTTAAGTAAACTGATAAGCATGGAGGAATTAAAAGAAAATGTCTATTTATCCTTCTTAAATGCATCTTTACTCCCTGAAACTGCTGAAATTTAAGGTATTTACATGGAATATATTATTTTAAGTGAGATATATGAAATAACTTTTAAACTTAAATATAGCTTCAAGTCATGGCTGATGTTAAGATGTTCCCAAAGAAATCCTCCAGCTTTACAAGTAGCACAGCCACACAGTTAAAACCACATTTCTTTGCAATTAAGTAGCTGGTGATGCTGGACTATGCACAGGGAACCACCATTAAACTCACTGCGGGGTGAAACCAGCTCAAGAACAAGAGGTAAATACAGAAAGTCATTTTCTATCATATTCATCTTGGATAAAATGATCCAGCACAGAAGAAACTCCTCCCCAGCTTAATGCCCGGCCCCCTTTGTTAAGGCAGAAAATTGGTAACTAATTATTAGTGCGTGTTTGCATCTCAGCCGAAGCCGCTGTGGCAGCTTTGGGGCCTGCAGGGAAACAGGCCGCGACCGAAAACCACCGAAATCTCCACGGAGAGCGCAGAGGGGCACCGAGCCGGGCAGGGAGGGGGAGCTCGAGGCTCG